GGTCATGATTTGGTAGGTTAAACCATGTAAGCTGGATCTATATAATATATTTTTGTATTAATAAATTTTTAGTAAAAGGTGCCATATTAATAAAAAAATTAAACATAATTTATTTTTAATTGTTCTTTATTATATGTTTTGTATAGGTTTATATAGGATTAATTTGTTCTGATTTATTTTTTATAATGTTATTATAGTCTTATGATCTGAATCAATCCATGACCTAAATCATTGGTTTTAGGTCATGATTTGGTAGGTTAAACTCTATATAATATATTTTTGTATTAATAAATTTTTAGTAAAAGGTGCCATATTAATAAAAAAATTAAACATAATTTATTTTTAATTGTTCTTTATTATATATTTTGTATAGGTTTATTTAGGATTAATTTGTTCTTATTTATTTTTTATAATGTTATTATGGTTTTATGATCTGGATGTTAGATTTAACAGAATAATTCATACTAATATGGGTAATAAAATATGTTATTGTGTCAATATTTTTTTAAAATATTATTAAAAAATGTCTTATAATTTTTTTTTTAATTTTTTTTTAAAAAATTATCTTTCTTTTTTTATTTTTTTATTATTTTTTTTTCCAATTTAAGATTTCAAGAAGGAAAAAAGAAAAGGCTCCAACAATCAGCGGCTCGGAAAGTAGAAACTCTTAGTTTGGACGGTTCTGGTAGCGTCGGTGAACCGTTGCAAACTTTCGATCCGCCGTGTAAAGAAAAGACTTGAGAAGACAAAAGTGCTAATTAAACGTAAGGGTTTGGAGACTTCTTTTTGAACTCTCTATATTTTATTGTTTTTCTTGTCCTAATTCTTTTCACTGATATAAATTATCAAGAATATATGAAATTAATTATAGCTTGTTTTAATTAAAATTTATTTTATAGTTCACTTTATGGGAAGAGTTACATTTGGCTAAGAGTTACATTTGGCTATATTATACAGTATTCTTATAAAAAAAAATCAAGGTAAAATGTTGCGGTTGAGCTTTTTATCCGAGTGCATCTATGCCCGAAGATGTACCTGCCTGCGTTGACATATTTACATGAACGACACATCGCCCTTGTAATTGTAGCATCGTTTACAAACGGTATCTTGCAATTCTTGTTTAGATCCAGGCAATCACACCGGATTCCAAAACTCCTTAAACACAAATTAGAGTTTAAAGATCATTTATAAACAAACAATCAATGAATAATTCTAAGTTGAATTGTAAAAATTATATTTGAGATTAAATCTCTTTCTATAAAATTATATTATGATATCATGTTAGATAATTTAAAAAATAAAAATAAAATTAAAATTTCATTGATATTGCATGATATGATCACTATAATATAGAAAAATAAATTTAATCTAAATATAAAAAATTATATATAATTAAAATTAAAAAAAATATTTTACTCTCAATAAATAAATAAATAAAATAAAATGACACTCTATTTGTTAACATTTATATCAAAACAATTGGCTAAAAAAGAAAAAGAAAGAAGAAGCGTTGACAGTTCAGAAAGAGCCTACCCAAGTTATACTAGCTAGCAAGAGTTTCCCTCGTCCTGTCTTTCCATTAACCTGACAAGCGCTTGCTAATCTGCCTGATACAGACAGGCACATCATGCGGTAGGTTACGTATCGTTTGCCTCTGTTTCAGTCGTGGCCGGCTAAACCTGCACCTGTTCCAGCATGTATTGCGAAAATGAATTAATTCTCTCAATTTTCTCAACGAAAATGATTACACTCATGAAATCCAGGCATTCAAAAAGCTTGAATGATTCAATAGCACGTAAACAAGCCTGTCTTCTTGTCCGCGTTCAAGAATTGTTTCGTTGATGCCTTAAGAAATACACCAGCAAATAATCATCACCGTCTGCTCGCACAGTACATGAGCAGGGTTGGTGAGTAAGCTTCAACCTGTTCTTATTTGAAATTATTATTTTTTTAATGTTTTTAGATTTTTATAATGTATTAATGTTAAAAATATATTTTTTAATATTTTTTCATAAACAAACACGTTGAAAATAACTGAACCCACAGTCTCTATCTCTATAACAAACGGCTATCACCATCTCCTTGAAAATCCGGCCCCATCCACCGTCGGCAGGGTAAAGGAAACTAATGCCAGTGGGGGCATAAGCCAATGGATGACATTTTCAGTGACTGATTTGTTTTCTTTTCCGGGCGAAATAAGTCATGCTAATTATTTACGTGACAAGAAAAATGATGATAAAAGCCAACCCCATGTGTACGCTGACAGGAAAGGGCCGGCCAATTCTAATGCTACTGCTAGTCTTGGACGCACTCGGCAGTTGTTTTGCTTGCAAATAACACCACCAGCTCCGCCATTTTTCAAAGCGCCCACCCAACTTTTGTTCCTTTTGAAGGCCTTGTTAAAGTGTCCGTGACGGTGAAAGTTTTTTTTTTAAAAAAAACATGTTAAAATAATATTCCTTTATTCCTAAAAATGTATTGAAAGATCCAAAATTTCTTAAAATCTCCTTTACCCCTTTGTTTGTTTGCCCTGTTTTCCACAAGAAGAACAACGCGGCTGTCTAACTTCTCCTCCTTTTCAGGCCGTATCCGGTCCCTGTATTAGTCTTAAACCCCCCACTGGTAACCAGTTTCCAGCTAGGGTGTGGTGGCCCCCCCCACGCCCAACCAATCCATAAGTACTACCTCACAGCATAAGCCAACCAAACGACAAAACTACTTTTTAAAAAAGATTAGAAAAATGCAAATTCCCTACCCTCTACAGTGTTCTTGAAGAAAGAAAAGAAAAACTTACTTGGGGGCCGTGTCTGCTGTCAACAGAAAAGAGAGAAACAACTGGTGACCGACTCCCAACCGCCCGTTTGTACTGTTATATCAACAGTTGTGTTTCAAATTTTAAGACAATATTCTTTTATTTTTTTAATTTATTTTAATATTAATACATCAAAATAATCTAAAAATATAAAAAAATAAAAAAATAATTTACATTCAAAAAATAAAAAAATTATTATTTTTTAAAATATAAAAATAAACAAACTCTAAATTAAATATGACTTATAGTTGTTTTTTAAAATAATTTTTGTTTAAAAAGATATTAAAATTATATTATTTATTTATTTTTAAAAGTTTTTTTTTAATATTGATATGTTATAATGGTTTAATAATATAAAAGATAATTTTAAATAAAAAAAATTTCAATTTTAGCAAAAATCTAAAACTAGGCAGAATCTATTCTAACACATTGAAAAAAAATCTTAGGACCGGAGAAAAAAAATAAATTGTGTTAAAATAAATTAAAGATGACAAATCATACTAGGATCATAATTATTTTTTGAAAAATAATTTTTTAAAATTTTTTTTATTTTTGTTTGTTATAAAAAAATTGACCAGGAAAAAACACTTTCCAGTTAAAGAAAAATTTGATTTGATTTTCAGGAAAGTATTTTCTTAAAAAATTTGGATGGAAAACATTTTCTGAAAATTATAAAAAATTTAAAAATATCATATTATTTGTTAATTATATCGAATTTGGCTATTCAACTGGTGACCGACTCCCAACCGCCCGTTCGTACTGTTATATCAACAGTTGTGTTTTAAATTTTAAAACAATATTCTTTTTAGAATTTATTTTTAATATTAATACATCAAAATAACTTAAAAATATAAACAAATTAACTTATAATAAAAAAATATAAAAACAGACGGACTCTCAATTAAATATGACTACAAATCTAACCAACAAAATTATGGTAACATATTCTAATCATAACTAGAAATATTTAGTAGTTATGGTTGCTTTTTATAATAATTTTTATTTAAAAATATATATATATATATTTTTAAAAAAATTAGTATCTGTATATTAAAATGATTTGATAATATAAAAAAATTTAAATAAAAAAATTTAAATTCTAGTGAAAATCTAAAACTATGCATAATCTACTCTAACATATTAAAAACTGATATTAGCAGAGGGGAGGAAAATAAATTGTGTTGAAATAAGTTAAAGATGACAAATCACGCTGAGGTCATTATTGTTTTTTAGAAAATAATTTTTGAAAAATGATTTTTTAAATTTTTTGTGTTTATTTGTTATTAAAAAAGTTGATCAACAAAAAATATTTTTGAATTAAAAAAAATTTGACTTAATTTTCATGAAAGTGTTTTCCTAGAAAATTTGGATAGAAAATACTTTTTAAAAGTTATGAAAAATTTAGAAATGTCATATTATTTGCTAATTATATCAAATTTAGCCCTTAAACTTTTGATTATTGTATATATTTTATTTTAAATATTTATTTTTTAATTTCATCTCTTAAAATTTAATTTTTATATTAACTTTGGTTTTTATTTTTATAATTGTTATTTGCTTTTTTTTTTATTAAAAAAATTTATCTATCAAATTTGATCCTTATTCTTTTAATTGGTACTTATTTTATTTGAAATAATTTATGAAATGTTAATTATTATTCTTTTAATTTCTTCATCTTTTATTTTTTTATTTGATCTCTATTATTTTGATTATTATTTATTTTATTTGAGATAATTTATGAATTATTTTTTTCAATTTCATTTTCATTCAACTTTTTAATTTGTAAGATTTATTTTTTATTATTTTAATAAACTTAAGAAAAATAAAACATTAATAAGTTATTTTCTAACTATTTTTTATGATATAATCAAATATCAAAAAATATTTTTTAATTTATTTTTTATTATACTATTAAATATTAGAAAATAATTTAATGTTTTATAATTTATTTTTAAAAAAAAATATTTTTCAATAAATAAATGAAAGTAACTGATCCTTTTTAAAAAAATACTTTCCAATAAATAAATGAAAGTAACTGATCCATGGAATGATACATAAGTGATTTATCCAATCATGGCGCTAAATGTTAGCGGCGTTAGCTGTAAGATTTTCTAATACGATGACTCTGTTTCCATGACTTTACTAATAATTAAAAAACTACTATGTTTTTTTTCTTTGACCGCATGAATGGCTAGAATGGTTTTGCGACAACAGGAACTTCGTTATCTCCAGTCACTACTTCTGCACTAGAATCATATAGGAAATGACCACCAGGACCTACTGGCTCAGACCCCATCTAATACCAGTGTATAAATAACGACAGTTAGCTCTGTTTCTAAGGCAGAGAGCACCCATCTGGGAATGGCCATGGAAACCCATTTGCGTGTTGTGTTTTTCTTGGTAAATGTGGTTGTGCTGGGTGTTTCTGGCGCAGGAGGAGAAACAGCTGTTGGAGACCCGGGAATGAGAAGGGATGGTTTGAGAGTGGCCTTCGAAGCTTGGAATTTCTGCAATGAAGTTGGCCAAGAAGCTCCTGGCATGGGTAGCCCCAGAGCAGCTGATTGCTTTGACCTCTCAAGTAAGAACAAGCACCGTAGAAGGAAACACACAGTATTGAAGAGTGGGTCTTTCTTTATTACTATTCCTTTTCAATTATTGAGTTTTTTATTGCCAAAATCAACATCTAAAGCTTTGTCGTTGCTCAAATGGGCGTGTTTACTCGTAGCTTCTATTCATTTGAAGGAAATGTTCATTACTATCATGGTTTTTCTTTTAATTTTCTTTAATCTAGCTTTTATACATAAACACACAAAAAAATCAGTTCTTTTTCATGCTGTATTTGACTCTTTATCTGTTGCACTCAACTGTCTCCACTGTTTCTGTTATATGCATGCTAATTCTTTGTTAAAAATGAGGCAGGTTCTTTTCTGAAACACAAGGTAAGTGAAGCTGACAACAAACTCGGGGTTGGACAGCCTTTCCCAGGTTTGCACCCAGGAGCCATAAACAATACCGACCTTTATGCAATGCAGAAGGAGCTATACCTGGGTTCATTATGTCAAGTTGAGGATACCCCGAATCCATGGCAGTTTTGGATGGTCATGCTTAAAAATGGAAACTATGACACAACTTCCGGTTTGTGTCCAAGGAATGGGAAAAAGGCCCCTCCTTTTAGTCCAGGAAGGTTTCCTTGTTTTGGAAAGGGTTGTATGAATCAACCCATGTTATATCATCAGCAGACTAAGCTTTCGGATGGTGGTATAATGAGAGGAAGTTTCAATGGGACATATGATTTGGGTTCTGACATTGGAAGTGGACTTGATGGAATCTCTTTTTATGAAGTGGTTTGGGAAAAAAAAGTTAGTCATGGAAGCTGGGTTTTTAGCCAAAAGCTCAAGACTTCAAAGAAGTACCCATGGCTGATGCTGTACCTCAGAGCTGATGCAACTACAGGATTTTCTGGAGGGTATCACTATGACACAAGAGGAATGCTCAAAATTGTAAGTAGAAACTATTTGAAATGTTTTTTTCGAGGAATGCTCAAAATTGTAAGTAGAAACTGTTTGGAATATTTTTTTTTATTCCTCAATTTCAAAGCAAATCCCAGTCATCTTCACAGATTAAAACTAAGCTGCACTAGCAAATACGTATGAGTTCGCCTTTCTATATTCAGTTATTCATTTCTTAGTAAAGGAAAAGAAAACGGGAGAAGGTACTCTGATGTGTCTTGATGATGAAGGTTTCTTCTTGTGATTTGGCAGATAGAGATTTGTTTTGTTTCTTGTCAATGAAAATTGATATTTGTTTTATTTCTTGTTTTTATTAAAGTTGATCACTGTGTCATAGGAAACAATCAATGATTGGACAGGTTAATTACCTACCCGGAACATTAAATCAAGGTATCAAAATGATTTTGGTTAGCTGTCTCCGTCCTTTACAGCTTGTTTGGAACTCAATTATTCATCTGATATTTTACTATTTTCAAACTCATATCTAACAAAATGGTCAAAATCCAGTTGATTCTTAATCCATATTGTAAACTTCTACTGGGATTTGTCCAACTAGTACTGTTTCTATAGGCCTTGAAAGATTTGGTCGAGGTCACGGGCTTCGTAATCTTTTTATAATCATAGGAAGCTTCAGCCATATGGACATGGTTGCAAGTGCACACTTGCTTAACAAGTCTTGTGATGGATGGCACCACCGATCTCGAGGTTGCAGGTTTGATTAGGCGGACAAAAGCCAACTGATACGTAGTAAAGTTGGAGACTTGTTCCTATCCTTGTTCGGTAAGCTCTTAAATATACGTGTCAGTATACAACAGAGCACATCCTTACTCATGAAGATATTGATTGTGTGTTTTGTGTTTGCGCTGATACTAATTCATGTAAAATGAAACTACATGACAAAAATACTAAATCAGTTTGCCTGGAGTCAGATCAGTATGAACCACAGTAGAGTAATAATTACACCTGTCCTATTTTTTGTATAATTGTCCTCCTGAAATTGGTAACAAGTTAGCTGTCTTGCAGCTTCCAGAGTCACCTAATTTCAAGGTCAGAATGACTTTGGATGTGAAACAAGGCGGAGGACCCAAGAGCCAGTTCTATTTGATAGATATCGGGAGCTGTTGGAAGAACAATGGTGCTCCATGCGATGGAGATGTGCTTACCGACATAACCAGATACAGTGAGATGATTATCAATCCTGAAACTCCAGCTTGGTGCAGTCCCACAAATCTAGGAAACTGCCCACCGTACCACATTACTCCAAACAACACAAAAATTTACAGAAATGATACAGCTAACTTCCCGTATGGGGCGTATCACTACTACTGTGCTCCTGGGAATGCTCAATTTTTAGAGAAACCTGTCAGCACTTGTGATCCCTACAGCAATCCTCAGGCACAAGAGCTAGTTCAGTTACTGCCTCATCCTATATGGGCTGACTATGGCTATCCAACAAAACAAGGGGATGGTTGGGTTGGGGATGCCAGAACTTGGGAGCTTGATGTGGGTGGGCTTGCAAGTAGACTTTACTTCTATCAGGTCAGTAGTCAAACAACCCCTTTTAGGTGTAAATGCTATAAAACTGATGAACAACCAGATAGTCACCATTTTAATTCTTTCACTGCAGGATCCCGGTACCCCTCCTGCTAGAAGAATATGGAGATCCATCGACATGGGTACTGAGATTTTTGTTAGCGACAAAGATGAAGTAGCGGAGTGGACTGTTAGTGATTTTGATGTTACTTTCACATAATTTAGTGTTCAAAATTCTTTTTTCTTTCAGAAAAATCCCTTTCGAGATTAAGAGGGGAAAGGGGTAAAGGCATCATCTGCTACAGTGATAATTTAGAAAGCTGGGATTGGGGTAGCCAAAAAAACCCGCAAGGGCCAGGCATTCTTGTGCTGTGAGGCACATCAGCGCATCCAATTGTATCCCGAAACATCAATTAATGTGAAAGATATATGAACTGTGTCAATTTTACTGCATCTCTCCGGTATTTTGTTTCAAGTATAGAAGCCACCATCTTCTCATGCAATGATGCGTCATCTACTCACCAGGAAGGAAAAGCAACTATGCTGTTCTGCTAGACTGCTCGGACAATGATTTCCTAGAGCGCGAAACTGGTCTAACCATGTGGTCATTTTAATTTTTGGACACGTGTCATTGTAATTCCGACCTAGGTGGATTGGTCCTACCATGTGGTTGAACCTAACTTGGTACCAAACTGGTCACAAGTACAACAACACGACACTGAAAGTTCACGGGAGCTCAAGCCAGGTTCAAGTGCTATATTCTTACATGGCTTGGACTCCATTAATTTCTTACGGCTAGCATAATAAAATAATAATAATAATAATTAATGGCTGCACCTTCCTCTTTCAAGTTTCAATACCGTAGATGTTTGGTGATGTGTTTTGAAAGTATTTAAAAAAATAACATTTTTTTTTATTTTTTTAAATTAATAAATTTTAATATTTTTAAATTATTTTAATATGCTAATATCAAAAATAATTTTTTAAAATAAAAAATTTTATTTTAACATATTTTAAAATAAAAAATATTTTAAAAAATAATCACTATTATACTATATTCTTAAAGTTAAATATATACTTTTGTTTAGTTAACTTTTAATTAGTATGTTGGAATAGAAAAATACAGAGATGATATTTTTTATTTTAAAATTATTATAAAAATATATTTATTTTATATCCCAGTTCATATTTTTTCGATTAAATATATTATTATATTTGTATTTTTTCAAAGATATTAACCAATTAGTTATATATGTTTTGTACACACCAAACTGTCAAAATGTGTTTTGCAGCATGAACAAACACATTTGATAAGTACACGATTCCTGTGGTGTCGGTTAAAGTTAAACTAACAATGGAGACAACATTGGGATAAGTTTAGTGTAAAACAAAAACATAAAAATAATAAAATAATAAAATCAAGAGGCTCTGTATTTGATTGTATACACAGATATATATTATTTTGCTTACAATAAAATTTCAATCCTGCCCTTGGGACAAAAAAAAACCTTGGATTGACTATGGCTA